TACTTTTAATTCATGGGATAATAGCTTTAGGAGACTCAGCTCAAGGAGATGGAAGATAGTTCTAGAATCACATAGTTCATAAACAATGCAAACTAGAGCTCAAAGCACTAAATATCCAGTTTATATCACTCTACAAAAGACTACTCAGAAAATGTACTTAGGATACATTCATTTCTAAAGATTTTTGCCTGTTTTGGTTTTGCTTGTGTGTACATGTATGGGTTTGTGCATAAGAGTGAAGGTGCCAGCAGTCTGCCCCATGTGGGTGCTGGGTATTAAACTTGTGTCCTCTGCCAAAGCACTAAGCACTCTTAACCACTGGCCATCTCTCCAGCCCAGGATGCATTCTTTTTGACAGTTTATATGGATTTTGTCTCAAGAACAATCATAAGTTTTATTTTTTCCTTAAAATGAGCTTCCTATCCATCCCCACCCAAACCCTAATCAAAGATTTGGATTTTTCCAGTTGGGCGGATCACATGGTGTCTGGTGACACACATTTCAATGGTACTGTGTGCTTTCTTCACATTCTCCTGAATTCTGATGCAGCCTTCTATTCAGTTCTTCAAGTCTGAGATGATGTCCCCACCATTACTGTCGTCCTAGGAAGATGCACGCATGGGTCCATACACTCTAATCTAGTAACTGCAACTTTTAGAGCAGGAAGGAGATTTTTGTTCCTTGGAAAATACGGTCCTAGGAGTTTTATTTAGCACTATTATAATGAACTAATTGGTCTATAGCCTTTCTCATAAATTCATCAAGTTCTTCTTGCTTTTATTAGTTAATTTTGTTCCTCTGGGAATAAATTCTTCCTAATTAGATATGTGCTTGAACTTTCAAATAATAATAGGACAAATGAGGAGATGCAGTTATGTTAATTCTCAGTGTCTCCTAAACTAAGCATCGCTTTGTTATAAAAAGGACCTGTGGATCCCTGCCCCCATTCTTTCCTAAATGTGTTAATGTGCTTTGGTTACCTCAGTTCTCGTGGGAAAAAACATTTTTGCGATTTATACATAGTACCCGTTTACACGAAGCTTCCTGTAAGGTGTGGGCCAGTCGTGGTGGCACACACTGGCAATCCCAGCACCTGGGATGCTGCTGAGGGAGGAGGTGAGCTGCAGGCTAGCATGGATACATGTCAAGACGCCACCTTAAAATTCAGGGGCAACATGTCCTATAACTTCTAACATGGGGAGTCACGTGGGACCATAGAGGGGATACTTCTTCCCATGAAGGCCAAAGAATAGAAACCTGGTGGTGCATCAGTTTGACGCCCCCTTCATTATCCTTTAATTGAAAATAGATCCCCCCCCCCCCCCCGCATAAGATAGCCTGATTCCAGTTGCTCCTCCCACTCCCCCCCACCTCTCCTTCTGTCTGGACCACTCCTTTTCTGTCTCGCATCAGAAAACGAGGTTCTAAGGGATTATAGCAAAATAGATAAAAAAATAAGATAAAACTAACACATCAGACAAAACAAGCAGACAAAAAAAGCACCCAAGAGAAGGTACAAAATAAGAGGCCCACTCATTGACACACTCAGGCGCCCCATGGAAACACTAAGCAGGAAACCATAATAACATATCAAGAGGACTGACTGGTGCCGACCGTGCAGGGAGTTCGGGTGAGTTTCAATAAGGCTGATTTAGAGGGAACCTCTGGGTGTCCTCCATCTCTTCTGACTCTTGCACTCTCTGCCTCATCTTCCACAAGGTTCTCTGAGTCCTGGGGGAGGGATTTGATGGGACATCCTGCTTAGGGCTGAGAGTTCCAAGGTCTCTCACTCCCAGAATAATGTCTGACTGTGGGTCTCTGTGTTTGTGTGCTTCGTGCAGCCACTTTTAAACATACCCTATTGGAAAGTAATGCCACTGGCGAGTAAGAACTCTCTGGAATGCAATCATTTGCATGGTTTTGGTGATTGCTCAGTCATTTACAATAACTCTTTAAGTACTTCTCTGTACTGGCAACACTGTACCCTGTTACCAGTAAACAGAAGTAACCCATTTTCTTTCTGTTTACAGTTCATTCTAAAAGACAGACAGACATTACTGTTGGTAGTGGGCCGGACCAAGAGTAGATGGACTTACAAAAAGCTACATTCCTTCTTATGCACCTTGATATGGTCCTTCTGGTTGTCTCTGTGGAGACTACTGTGATATGAGCAGAACGAGATAAGCCACGTAGCACCTAGGGAGTGGAAGCACGGGAAGGGATGAGAGCAGATAAGAACCACAAACTCTATCATTCTGTTAAAACCTTCCCAAGAGAACGCATCTGTTGTCTCTCCTTGGACACCACTGGACCATCCAGCCCCTTCCCATATATTTTACTTTTATCTGGTTAGTTATTAGTGGTAGAGGCCCACATCATCTTTTAAAAAGTTCTTAGTTGCCTAAGTGTTCTATCACCTTAAATGTAACAGTGTATGGGAACCATTTACCAGCACATTATTAAGCACATATTATGAAGAGAAAGATATCTAGGGCTCTCATAAGTGATGTCATAAAATGTTTTATTTGGTAGCACAATATTTTAAATTATTTTTTATTGTTTGAAAGTTTCACAAGTTCATATGATGTGTTCTAATCAAACATAACTCCCCAATTCTTCTCCTTCAATTTTTCCTTAATCTCTCCTTAGACTTTTTCTTCCAAATTTCATGTGTTCTTTATTAAGCCCCATGAGTCCACTAGGTTATAAAAGTATATTTATAAGTCATATATAAGAACAATTCCAAATGGATCAAAAATCTTACACAAAAGTAAGGTCCTTGGGCTGGAGTGTAGCTCAGTTAGTAGAGTGGTATCCTAGCACACGTAAGCCCTGGATTTCATCTCCAGTATACTGAAACACCAGGCCTGGTGGCCCTCCCCTGTAATTCTAGCATTTGGGAGGCAGAAGTAGTAGCACCAGAAGTTCAATATCATTGTTGGATACATCACGGGCAACTTAATGCAGGAAGGATTTATTTTGACTCTGGGTTAGAGAGGGTGGCATGGTGGAAACAGCCTGGGGATGGTCACAGCCATGTGGGCCAAGAACTACAGTGAGAAATGACGAGAAGCAGGCTATAATCCCCAAGACTCACACTACAAGACACATTTCCTCCAGAGAGGCCCCACCTCCTAATGTTCTGCATCCTCCCAAACAGCTTTGTATTGTAAAGATTTCACAAGACCCAAGATAAATGATAAAGGGGTGTTTATTGAGGAACACTTACACAGATAATAATACAGAACTGCAGGAGTGCTTGTCTGCTCTTCCTGTCTGATCCCCTGACCCAAGAGAAAGAGAGTGCAACTGAGACCACACCTCATACTTCTCTCTTTCCTCTTCCTTCTGCCTGAAGCCACACCCAAAGGGGTGTGGCCACTGTTACAGGTTTATCAGCAAGACACTGCAACATTGTATTTATTATATTTCTGAAAAATTGGATGCATTTCTAAATTCTTATTTTTAGAGAAAGCAAAAAAGAAGTTGTTAGCTAATCTAGAAAAAAAATAAAGAAAGCATAAGTCTACCAAACTGTACTGACAAGGAGAAATAAATATTAAGCAGAAATTTTAAAGAATTGATGAAACTACTTTGCACTGCTTAAGGAAAATAATAAATGACTTTTAATAAAATTGACCCCATTAAAGGTAAAAATTCAGAACAGTATGATTGTCAAGGAAGGAAATGGGAAACAGAGGAGATATTTAAAGGTCTCACAGTAAAAGCACCAAACTCACCCAGATGGTATTGTAGTGAGAAGCTTCCATTTTCTTTTCTGAGACAATGTCTTACTAGGTAGCCTACACTGGCCTGGAACTTGAAATCCTCTGCTATGCCTCCAGAGTACATGAGGTCTATGCATTCAACGCTCACTAAAACGCTTCCAAAGTAGAGAAGAAGACTATGGTGGATTGAAAGAGAGATGTGCTCTAGGCTCAGGCATGTGAACAGTTGCCCCTGGGCAGTGGTGCTGTTGGGGGAGATTATGGAACATTAGGCGTTGGAGCTTTGCTGGAAGAAGCACACTGCTGGCTGAGGCTGCTTAGAGGTATTCACCCCCTTCTTCATCTCTCTCTCTCTCTCTCTCTCTCTCTCTCTCTCTCTCTCTCTCTCTCTCTCTCTCTCTCTCTCTCTCTCTCTTTGTCTTCTCTCTTCTCTCCCCTTCCTCTGTGGGGTTGAGAGCTGACTTGCCTTCCACATCTTGATGGATTCTCTATCCCTCTGCAACAATAAGACAAATAATTTTGCTTAAGTTGCTCTTGGTCATTAGTGCAGCAACAAAAAAGTAACTAATGCAAGTTAACTTTATAAAACAGATTGTCATCAATCCCTATAGTATAAGTAGTTCTTAAAAACTGTCAATCTTAGTTATAACTACTGTTATGAAAAAAGCTGTACAGAAATTTAGTAAACACACGCCAATAGAACATTTCTTGTTTTTTGTTGTTTATTTTGTTTTTGAGACAGGCTCTCAAAACTGGCTGGCTTAGTCTAGAACTCACAACGTGGAGCAGGCTAACTTCTAACTCATAGAAATCCACCTGCCTCTGCTCCCCTCAGTGCTGGGATTAAAGGCTTTTGCCAACACGCCAGCCTTTCTCCAATGAAATACTTTTAATTATTCAAAAAGTTTCTTTCTAAGAGTATTAGAAAATCAAATAATTTAATTTGTTAATTAGAAAGAGCTAACGAGGGGCAATTATATGATCAACACAGAAGTAGTAAATATATTAGATCAGCACCAAGCCTTCTAGTCACAAGAAAATAGAAACAATGTTTTATTACCTGTAATACTATAACTCAGAAGTCGGGGAAAGTGGACAAGCAAGAGGCTGATCTGTAACAGCCAGGAAAAAGACAAAAGTAGACATCATCTCCTCCATGGCTCTTCATCATATGCTTAATGTGTTTGCCAATGAGATTAACTGAGAAGGCTGTCAAAATAGAGCAATCTGAAATAAGGAGTAAAACCATGTCCTTCCTTATCTCTAACCCAGGGAAGAATGAATGGAAGAGTGCCTACAGTCCGTCCATGGAATTCATTATCTGGCCAGTTAGACAAGGCCCAAAGATTGATTGCCAACATGTGTGCGAACAAAAGCAAGCTAGACAATAATTGGAGGAGAAGACTCAGTTGCGGCTTGAATGAGAACTGTCTGCCACATCCTGGGGCATTTGGGTGCTTCTGAGAGTTTTAAGGCTTTGCTTGCATTTTACTCTTTCTGCTTTCCATTCAAGATGTGGTCTCCCAGCACCCTGCTCGAGCCTATATCTGCCTGCTGCCTCCACCCTGTCATTATGGACTCCAACACTCCAGAACAATAGAGCAAAAAGAAAAAGTTTTTCTTCTTTAAGTTGCATTGGTCATGGTGTTTTATCTCAGCAACAGAGGAATAGCTAATATAGACTCCATATGTGATGGTGATAGTATATAAGAACATATCAATGCACCAATGCACAGTGATGGCCACATACTGTCTGGGATACTAGAATATGACATATATACTCCTGAAAAGAGGGAAATGGTATCTATATGAAAACAGGCTCAAATGTAGACAAATAGAGAAATTAAAATTTACACCAAACCCAATTACTATTTTTCATCACCCACATTTGGAAAAACACCCAAATGTTAGCTGCATACTCTCCTGACAAGATTGAGGGGAGCATCCCACTGCGCTGTGGTGGTGTAATGCGGTTTCATGAAGGTAGGAACCTGCTTGTGGAGATCTATCTGCAAGGTACATTGGGAAACTGTAAAAAGACACATTCCTAACCTACTTTTCACAGCACTATTTTTAAGAGTAAGTGGCTAAAAGAAGTTAATGTCATCGATACAGCAATCATACTTGGAAAAAACTACATTGTTAAAGAGGAATACCAAGCAGCTACCAAGAAATATGGTGGATATGCAAAATACACACACACACACACACACAGAGATACATGCATACATACACATATATACATGCATACCTACATGCATATACACATACATACATACATACAAATACATGCATATATACATGTATGCATTCATATGCACACATACTTTTATGGGATGATACCAAGTGTAGCATGTTATTTAGCCAAAAAATAATGTGATGAAAAAGTTTGTACTGTTAAATATGATACCATTCAACTAGACAAGTCGGAAAATCTATCATCTGTCTGCCTGCATGGTAATGGCTTATATTTTGAAAGTAATATAAGGATAAACCCTCACAGAAACAATGTCTGGTTGTGATAATATACAGTTGTTTTTCCAGTTATAATAATTTCAGAACACGAGGAATGGGGTATATGGGTTCTACTCGAATTATTTCTTATAATATGTAAGTCTATAATTACCTCAAAATTTAAAAACATCAAATGAGAAAGCTCGTGTATGAGAGTGCTCATGTCAAACCAATTTAAAAGATGCAAGGACAACCCAACCCAAAAAGCAGTGGCAATAAATAATAAGATCAGGACAGAGGCTGATAAAATAGGGTACAAAAATAACTCATGGAACATGTCAATTAACTGTTTCATGTAAAACAACAAGCAAAATGGAAAGCACCAGACAAACTAACCACTAGAAGTCCTACACTGACAGAACTGGAGAAGGGGAGGGGAGGCTGCCTGCAGGGTTTAGTGAAACCCTGAAAACATATTCTAGAAAATCTAGAATTGGTAAATTTTGAGATAAATGTGACCTACCAAAATTAAATCAAGAGAATATGAATGGCTTAATAGCAAATATAATAATCACTGAGATTAAAAAAGTTAGTAAAAGCCTCCTGCAAATTATAAAGCCCAGAACTGGAAAGATTCATGTCTGAATTCTACCAGGCCCTTAAGGAACAGACACCAGTGTTTCTCAGAGTCCTGCATAAGACAGAAAGGGACGGAAGTGCACCAAGCATTGTGTGGAGCCAGCATAGCCCTTATGCTAAAATGAGTATAGGTGTCAAATTCCTCAAGAAAATTCTGACAAAGTAAGTTAGAGAACTAAGAAGTTCATACACCATCAATCAAGTTGATTTTTATCCCAGGCATGCAATGATGGTCAAGGTATACAACTCAGTAAGTGTAATACAAGGTATACTTAGATATAAGAACAGAAATTATGTGATCATCCCAATCCATGTATAAAAGAATTCTGTCAAAGAGTAATAATCCTGTCTGATAAAAATCAGGAAAAAACTAGGAACAGAAAGAACACACCCACACATTGAAGCTTTTATACACAAAAGAAAGTCTATGGCCTATGTTATACTTAAAAAGGAAAACCTGAGAGCTCTTCTTCTAAAATCTGGAATAAGACAAGGATACCTATTCTCTCCCCTCAATACAGCACTTAACGCCTCAGCTAGAGACGAAAAACAAGGTAAAAATGAAGAAAACATTGGCAAAATGAGTCAAATTTGTAGACAACAAATTTGTGGACATAAGAAACCCTTAGAACTCCACCAGAAAATTCTTGGACCCCATAAACACTTAGAGCAAACTATCAAGATAAAAAAATCAACATTAAAAACTAATGAAACACACCAACTTTTCAATATACAAAAATCTCACAGTTTTTTAATACCTAGGAATAAAACCAAGGAGATGAAAGATCTCTACAGTAAAGTAGCATCTAGTGAAGACACTATAAAATGGTTAGACCTCTCAAGATCATAGACTGGCAGATTTAACATGGTGAAAATGGCTGGGGTACCAAAGGTTATCTACAGATGCAGGACCCACCCAACCAAAATCCTAACGACATCTCCTACAATACTAGAAGCAGAATGCTAATATTCATTTGCAAGCACAAAAGGCCTTCCATGGTCAAAGCAACCATTCCCAGATAGAGCAATACTGGAAATATCACAATTTCTCATCTCAAGTTACATTACAGAGCCATAGTGCTAAAAGCACACATATAGACAGACCCAGAACTAAACCCACCCAGATTCAGACACCTAACTTCTGACAAAAATGTCAAAAATACATTGGAGGAAAAAGACAGCTTATAACAAAGGCTGTAAGGAAAACTGGATTTCCCCATATAGATGAATGAAATCAGATCCATATCTCATGTTTCACAAAGAATTCAATTCAGAATGGATCAAAGATCATAATGTATGACCAAACAACACCAAAACTGCTAGGGGGAAAAATAGTGAAATCATTTCATGGAGTAAGCACATGCAAGGGCTTTTTGGAAGAACCTCAATGCCATCAGAAACAACCCTGTAGTCAGATTTTCTTTGGGCCACCAGTTCACAAATAATGACACAGAGACTTACTGTTAATTATGAAAGCTCAGCCTTAGCTTAGGCTTGTTCTACCAGCTCCTATAACTTAAATTAACCCATTTCTACTAATCTATTTTCTGTAATGTACTACCCATTGTACATATTCCATGTCTCTTCTCCATGTCTGGCTAGGAATCCCTCCTCCTTCCCTGAGTCCTCACTGTCCCCAGAAGTTCTGCCTAATCTCGTCCTGCCTACCTATTGGTCATTTAGTATTTTATGACACCAATCACAGCAATGCATTTTCACATGGTGTACAAATATCCCACAATGCAACCCCAAATCAACAAATGTGATTGCATGGAGTTAAAAAAACTTCAATACAGCAAGGGAAACAATTCCAGAGTGAGAAGACAGCCAAAAGAATGGGAAGTAACCTTTGCCAACTACATCACACAGGGAATTAATGTAATATATATATATATATATATATATATATATATATATATGAATGAACAACTACAATTCCAACGTCAAAATCAGCTCCTCTAGTCATTACATGGGTCCATATACTGAACAGAAGATTCTCAAAGAAGTACAAATATCCAATAAATGCTTGAGAGAGTGTTTATTTTCTTTGGTGTTCATGGAAATGCCTGTGATTGGTGTTAAGAGAGGAGGTTTGGGTTGGTCAAAACACCCATTCCCAGGCCAGGTAAGCAGGCTATTCTTGTTGAGTTGATAATTCAGCTCCTATGTGGCCTCCCCTGGTGTTATAGCATCAGACCCAACAAAAGACTTCTCTTGAATGGTATTTTTTATACTAGTAGTGTAGGCTATGGTGTTATAAAACAAACAGGGTGACAGTAGAGGGGTTGCAGAGGTTTCAGAATAGCTGCAGTAGCTGGTTTGGCAGGCTGAGGAGGAGTATGGGCAGCAGGAGAAAGGACACAGATGTAGAGACATAACACGACGGGCAGAGAGCTGATGTCGATAAATCAAAGCTGTGGTGAGTGAGCAAAGAGAAATTGCAGGCCCTGGCTATAGAAGAGTTTTGCAGAACTGTCAAGTCATGACATTGAGGTCAAGTGTTTCAGACACCTGGCCAGGAGTTGTAACACTGAGTGGCTTTAAGTGGTAGGGAATCCTCACACTGTAGACCTCCACCAGAACTCTGCTGGCAGTCCAGGAATCACAGGAACAGGCAAGACCAGCCTGTAAACTGCAATGCTAGCTGCAACCAAGGATCTGGGAATTCCAGGAGAGTTTAGCACATATAGGGAGGGTTGGTCTGCTCCAGGATTGTAACACTAAAGGGCACTGCCTGCTGCTTCCACCTGCCCAATGCCTCTGCTTGCTGTGCTGCTACCAAACTTGGGGGTGATGGCAACAAAAGTGGCCAGAGACCAGTGACTGTCTAACTGGATAGGGCTCTGAATGCTCTTCTTGCTGCCCCACAAGCTGTGAGTTTTCCTCATGTGGCCTGTGAGAATAGAACCTACTCTCTGTCCTAAGCCATGCTCTGTAGAGAGAAGCCTTTTTCTTGTCTGCCGCTTTAGTTTTTCCCCACCAGTCGCCTGGGCTCTGCTGCGTTGTAGTCCCAAAATAACACACAAGGCGTTGTATTAATTATGAAGCTGTTGGCCTTGCTTGTTTCTTACTGCCTAGCTCTGACTTAAGTATTTACTCCATAATTGTTAATATTAAATATTTCTCTTACCGGACAAACATCTTACTTTTCTGGCAGGCTATATCGTGACTCCCTGTGTTTCTCCTACCCAGAGTCCTCCTGAACTCCTAGTCCCACCTATCTTGCTTCCCTATTGGCCAACAGTGCTTTATTGACATGTACACAGGACTTTCCTCATCAATGCACAGTCTCTATTCAGTTTCGCCAGAGATTTTCAGCATGTTATTGTCCAAGTCTAAAGCATTTTCCTCTACTGTGTGCAGAAATGACTATCTTGCAAATACACAAGGGGGTAGAGGAGGGGTTAACCAGGCTCTGTGGCTCCTCTCCCCACTCTTTGCAGTTTTCTCCTTTTGGAAATCTGGACTATAACCTCTAGATGCTTTGATGGTCTTGGATTCTGTACCTACTCCCTTCATCTGGGAGTTGATTGTGCCTAGTC